TTGAAAAAAAGCAGAAATATGAAATACAGTACGAAATACTTACGATACAGCACTTCGTAGTTGTCAGTAGTATTGTGCCGTAATAGAAGTCTTGTTACAGTACGAGTATCGACAAACAACGACAACAACAATAATACTCAAACCAATGCGCGCTGCAACCCGCCGTGCCGGTTTCACAAGGGTGGCGCGTTCGGGAAGGAGTCGCTGCCACAGTCGCTGCCACGGTCGCTGCCGCTCGAATTCCGGAGCAGCGCGGGTTCTCGTGGACGATGCAGAAGCTCCTCCCCCTTCCGAGCGGCGCCGTTGTTCTTTTGCGTTCCCCTCGTCGACGCTTTTGCTTTTGTTGCGCACGCCGGAGGAGGCAGCAGCGGCAGAGGCATTTGCACCTTTGGCATCATTGTCGCCATCGTTGGCATCGTTGGCAGAAAGACCATCGGTAGCTACAGCATCCATAGCATCAGCATCCATAGCATCAGCATCCATAGCATCAGCATCCATAGCATCAGCATTAGCGGCATCGTCATCGTCCTCGTCATCGTCGTTGGAAGAAGCAAAAGCAGCAGCAGGAGAAACAGCAAAAGCAAAAGCAATTGCCACAACCACAACCACAACCACAAGGACTGCCGCAACGGACGAGCTCGGGCTCCCCACGGGGGCCCGCCAGGCGGAATCCGGTCCCGAAGCCCTTGCCGAAGCCCTTGCCGAAGCCGAAACCCCGCGCTCGAGGCCAGMAAACCGCGGCAATTCCGGGAGCCACCAYCGGGGCCTCTTTCCCTGGCGGTCCTCCCCGAGGATCCCCGACCGCCTGGTCCCGGGAACGGAGGAACACCGCACCAGGGGGATGCTCCTGGGGGGGAACCTCACCTCGAGCCACCCTTCCCTGGACGCCATGGCAACGATGCGCTTTTTCCTGGGAATCCCGCTGGCCGACGTCCTCTTCTTCCGGAAGGCCACCGAGGCGGACCTTGCCGAAGACCTGGCCTGGGCTTTTGGGAAAGCCGTGGAGGAGCTGGCGCAGGCRCAGACGCAGGCGGAGGTGCAGGTGCAGGGGGCGCGATCCRCAGACAAACACACAGACACAGACAAACACACACACACAGACAAAAACACAGACAAACACACAGACACCACCACCACGCTCCGCACCATGATGGAACCCACAAAACTGGCGAGCCTCTTCGAGGCGGCGAGGGAATTCGGGAGGGAGTCCCTCGAGGTCAAGCTGGAGGTCCGCCCGATCCTTTCCGGCCGACCCGAAGGACGTGGCGGGACCCGGGCGGCCTCGGGACCCGAGATCGCGAGCCTCTTTGTCTTTCCCTTCCTGTCCCGGTCGATGCTGGCCGGCGGGAGGAACAAGGGCCACCTGCGGAAGTACTCGAGGCTCCTGGACGCCCTCACCGGGACGGGGGCCGGGCGGGGCGGCACCAAGGAAAACGAGAGCGAGAACGAGAACGAGAACGACCGCGGTGGACCGCACGGGTCCCCGGCAGAGCTGTCGGAAGAGCTGCTGGAGGACTTTCGCGAGAGGGGGGAATGCGAGAACACCATCGTCTGCCAGGTCCTCGTTCCGTGCCTCGAAACCTTTTGGGTGAGGGACAGGGCCACGGGAGAAATCCTGCAACGGACCGAGGAGAGCGAGAACGAGAACGAGAACGAGAACGAGAACGAGACGGGGGCCGGGGGCTCTTGGGGAGGTGGCGACCGGGAAACAGAAACAGATCCAGAAACAGAAACCCAGATCGAAACAGACGCACGAGATGTTCCGCCGGCGACCRAACCGAAACTGGTGTACCACCTGGTACGCTTCGAGCGGGTCGCCAAGRCGAAGATCGTTCGGGGGTCRCGGAGGCTTTTCCCCTTTGAGCAGGAGCTCGGGGAGTGGACCATCACCGACATTGACGATTTGTGCGACGGGAACCAGCTCTTCTGACCGCGGTGGCGGCTGGGATCGGAACCGGGATCGGAACCAGAATCGTGGCGTTGCAATGCGTGGCGTGGCGTGGCGTTTCGCAGCGCACCATAGCGCAGCGGATCCGAGCCGGCCTCGTCGGGCAGAGTCGAAACGCCGGTGCCCTGTACTGCGGTGGAGGGCAAAGCAAGCAAGGCACGCAATTGACGATCTTGGGCTCTTTGGGCCGATCAACCGAAGCGAATCCAATACGATGGGATTCTTGGGTTCCGTCGTCGCGACACCGTACGGTACGCTGCGGTTGGAATCCGATCCGCGGTTGCCGGAACGGGCCCCTCGGTGAAACTGATTTTGTACCGGGGCAACTTTCTGAAAATGCCACCCCGTAGCAGACCAAAACGAAACAAAGGAGGGGGGGAGGGGGGCACTACCTTGCGGGAAAGGGTATCTGGGTGAGCCGGAGAAAACCACCGCCAACGCTATTTCTTTGGCACTCCGTGATGTGTGTAGTATTAGCTTTTATTTAATGTTGCTATTGTTGATGACATGGTTTTTGCCACAATGAGTAGTCTCTCCATTGCCGTGCCCTCGGGCAGCCGGGTTGCGCTTGCTTGGTATTTGCCCGTTCGATTTGGTATGGTTTGGTTTGGTTTGGTTTGATTTGGTTTGGTTCGTTCCGTTTCGTTTCGTTTCGTTCTTTGCCTTCCTCGGCGCATCGTTGTTGTTTAGTAGACGTCCGTGTTGAATCGCGCGTCGTTCTTGGCGATTTCCTCGGAAAAGTTTAGGCCGTCCCCGTAGACGCGGAAGGTSCCCACGATGTCCCGGAGGGTCTCCTCGGTCTTGCCCCATCGCAGCGCCGTGCTGGCGGCCCACAAGACCTCAACACCGGGCCCCTCGGAGGTGATCGACGCCACGCCGCGCCTCTGGACCTCGAAACCGGCCCCCGTRAGGAGCTCGTACTTGAAATCGCACAAAACGTAGTCCTTTCCGTTGTACTCGGGGTTGCCCGTCTGGGGGGCGACCTTGGTTACCTTGAAGTTCTGGTACATGTTGGCTCCCTTCTGCGAGATGGACTTGATCAGCGCGCGCTCGAAGAGCGCTTTGTCGGCCTTGCCGATGTTGTCGACGTGGCCCTCTTCCTCGTACAGGAAGAAAGTGGCCGTATCGCCCTTGGCGTATTCGCCGGCCTGGACGGTCCCGTCCTCACCGTTCACGTCGTTGGAGGGAAGCTGGACGACCCAAGTGAGGGGGTGGCACATCTGAACAAGGAGGGGGAATCGGTTCYTTCCYTTTCCGTAGACCTCCAGGAGGGGCTTCATTCCCTTGGGGACCCGGGTGAGAGGGGGGAGCCCGTAGCTGATTGTGGTGTCGATAATAAATAATACGGTGCAACGGTGCAACGGTATAAAATAGTGTGTTTTGAGAAAAGAAAGGGAGGGGTCGGCAAAGAAAGAGAACGGAGGCGAGGTGTGAGGTGTGGGAGTAAGCGGGYAGTTGCTGTTGTTGCTTCTCGGATTCACTGGTGTGGCATTTCTTTCWGGAACAAGTACGGTACTCTCAYGCATGGTGCGCCGGCTGGCCCGTGAACCATCGCTCTGCAAAAAGGTACTCGTACTGCGACGCCGCGAGATGATTTCAGCGAAAGGAAAACYCCACCTGMGTCGCACTGCATTTCCTTTCCCGTTTCCWTTGCCAAAAACAACAAACCGCTGGCATTGTCTGTCGAGATTTCACCGGCGTGTCCGTCGTGCTTGTTGTCTGGTAAAGTAAAGGGGCTAGCTTCCGGAGTTCCAAGCGGCAACAAAGTAAATCAATATAGATTTTCGACACGCAGTCCTTCGGCGAGTTCCGGTTCGTCAAAAACAAAAACGCCTCGGTGTTCGGTGAATAAAAAAATACTTACGACTTCAATTTGGCGTTGACCTTGTCCGTGGGGGARGCGTTGGCCGGAAGAGGGGCCAACACCCCGGTTGAGGCTAGGGCTGCGGCGGTGTACGTCGCGACGGACTTGGAGAGGAACTCTCTTCGCGAATCTCCTTCCTCGGCAGCGGCGGCGATCCGTGTGGAACTGACGGAAGCCGACGGATTCGTCGGTGCGAATCCACTAGCATTCGATGCCATCATCGCAACGATGGAGGAGCACAGAATAGAAGTCTTCATGGTAGTTTGCTAGTAGTAAAACTGATACCGATRCCGATGTTAATACTTGTATTAGGAAAAAGTCGTTGTGCGTGCSGAGTGGAATTCGAAGTTTGGTCAGCTAAAGKGGGATCTATGATTTTCTTGCCGCTACTTTCTTTTAATAAACCCTGTGTCAGCAATTGGTGTTGCCGCTTGTTTGAAATGTTGTTGCTGATACCACGATGACAACAACACATCAAAAAGCCAATGAGGATGAATGAATACTCGTACGAGTAGTACCGYACGGTACCGTATCGCTGTACGGTACGTACGGTACTGTACTGGACCAACTCGTATCTTAACGTTGGACGTGGGCAGAGTGCTTCCGCTTGTTAGTATGCTTTTTTGGAGTGTAAACCATACGGTACTGTAAACTGACGTCAGGTTAGTTGAGTCCTTTCACGATTGAACAAACAAGTGTASACTACGGTAATTAGTACAGGGTACATACGGTACATTTGCTACTAATCTGTAGCAAATGTAAAAAAGATGATTACACGCGCGAGACGAGCAAAACTCTATGCACACTTTCTYGGCAACCACAAGGACCCTGTGAATTCTGAGCACATGGTTACAAAGGTCACGAAAATCTGCGTGTCTATGTCACGAASAGAATTCACAGGGTATGTCGGAATAGAAAATGTACAAACAAAAAAGAGGCATATGAAAAATGATGATTTGAAAATTATTCCCTTCTACTTCAGAGGCGAAAAAATGGAGAACCGGGTCAACAAAAAATGGSTTGGGCACAGGGGGCATGTGCCGATCGGAAAAAGGACAGACGACTTATGTATGTACGTACATATGTACGTACGATTAGACAGTCATACACGTACTGTACGGTACGGTTCTATCCTGTACAGTACCTTACGTACGGTACGATACTGCAAACACAAGTGTAGTACTGTGCTACTAGTAATACTGATCCCTTACAGATTGCATAATAAGTGCTTTGAATAACCATCACTAGTAGCTATACTATGAGCTTAATGGCAATATATATTCCTGTCTGGCATTAGTGCTGTGGGAGCTATGTGATGCTAAGTATAATGTTCTAACTCCCTTTTTTTACAAAGTTATTATGGCCCTCATCACCATACTAGTAGTAGTAGTGATTTTGGTCCTGGTGGGCAGATGATACTTCTATTAGTGCATATGCTGTCAGAGTAGTGTTTTTTCCAAAATACCAAAGATGGGGTTTGCAGCAAACTATAGTCCTCTTTATTGGTGCCAAGGGGGATAGTATGTGATGCTAAATATAATGATCTAACTCCCATTTTGACAAAGTTATGCTGGCCCTCAGCATAGTGTTTTGGGTTCCTGGCCAGCAGCAATTACCACTACCATTTGCACTGTTTGGATATCATTCCATTATTCTCAAAATATCATTAATTAGTAGAACCAAAGGATAYATTCCTTGGTATTGGTGCCAAGGGGGGATGTGATGCTGAATGGAGTCATGTTTTAGCAATAAGAAGAAGTAGCAGCAGTATTAATTTTACAATGTGAAAAAAGAGCTAGAGCTACCATAGAGCTAGAGCTAAAGCTAGTTGTTCTAGAGTGTTTGAGCTAGTGCTTGAGCTAAAGATAAAGATAAAGCTAGAGTCAGAGTGAAAGGTGCTATTTTCTATTGCTATTGCTTTTGCTTTTGCTATTGATGTTG